GTCATCCACGTGACTTTTTGGACGGAAAAATGGATGAAATTCGAAAAAATTAACGGCAAGGGTTAAATTGGCAATTTCAATTAAGTCGGGGACTAAATTGGCTGACTTTTTATTTCAGGGGGTTAATTTCTACAAAGGTCATAGTTCAGGGGGTAAAACGGCTGAAAATCCTTTTGGATATTTAAAAACTTTTCCAAGGAAATATAATTTATAAGGGCACATGATGCAGCCATGTGCAAAAAATGCAAAGTATTAGCATTCCATTAGTCTACTTTCTTCATGTGCATGCATATATCATGTAAATATAACGGGACAAATAGGAATTACTAATGTACCTGAAAACCACCTTCATTCAAAGTGCGAGCCCCATATTGAAGAACAGTCCCACCTTCCAGCAGTGGCTTGATTGCAGGATGATGTTTGAATTTCTATCAGCAGGAAAACAAATACATTTTAGCTGAGTAGGATTGACCACGTCAGAAAAATGACTTGGACACTACTGAAATATAAATCACATTCACTAAACAGTCAGCACAACTACATGTTAAAAGATGTGAGAAAATTTTCCCAAATTATTAACTCCATCAGTTATCCAATAGGAAGCTCCACTGCAACTTTTATTCCACTTAATTCATGAAAAAAACATATTAACCCCACCCTGCAGAAAGGAACATGAGGAGTAAGTTTAAGCTCCATGTATCCACTTTTCCAATCGCACGTGCATAGGGCAGAGGTAGATGAGCAGAACACGCATATATACACATTAGACACTTTTTTGGTCTGACCATCCGCATTATATATACACACCAAATCAGCCCTAAATAGGAATTTGGAACAAGTCTGTCTAGGAAGTATAAATTGTTGCTCATTTTTTAATTTTTTTAAACAAAATTATAGACAAACAAGGTGCAAGACCCTTGATCCGTGAAAAGATGCATTATGTCCAAAGGGAAGTGATGCATTTTGATCATTCAGAAAAACCAATGGTTTAGTTACCTGGAATTCTTCATAAGGGTTCAAGAAAGGGTTATGATAATTCAGAGCAACCACAAAGCCAATAGAAATCTGAAAAATCAAGTGAAAAGCACATTAATATTGCACTACCTAACTCAGAACCACATTTTAGTACTGAATAGCACAGCGAATATTTTTAAACCATTATTAAATAGAGAATTATTCATTAAAAAAATATAGCTACCTGTCTATCTTTCATGTGGTACAAAAATGAACCCCCGTATGTCTTTTGATCCAAGGGCCAACCCAGAGTGTGCAGCACAGCACCGGGGTCGTGCTTCCCTTCATCAATTTCCCAAACCTGAGAACATATGGTGTTGGGGAAAACTACATCCAATAAATAGTTGAATTATGGTATTATAAAATG